TGTGTAAGATACCGGACCTTTGTACTCACGAGTAAGATACCGGACCTTTCTACCCATGTGTAAGTTACCGGACCTTTGTACCCATGTGTAAGATACCGGACCTTTGTACCCATGTGTAAGATACCGGACCTTTGCACCCATGTGTAAGATACCGGACCCTTGTACCCATGTGTAAGATACCGGCCCTTTGCACCCATGTGTAAGATACCGGACCTTTGTACCCATGTGTAAGATACCGGACCTTTGCACCCATGTGTAAGATACCGGACCTTTGTACCCATGTGTAAGATACCGGACCTTTGTACCCATGTGTAAGATACCGGCCCTTTGCACCCATGTGTAAGATACCGGACCTTTGTACCCATGTGTAAGATACCGGACCTTTGCACCCATGTGTAAGATACCGGACCTTCGTACCCATGTGTAAGATACCGGACCTTTGTACCCATGTGTAAGATACCGAACCTTTGTACCCATGTGTAAGATACCGGACCTTATTACCCATGTGTCGGACCTTTGTAACCATGTTTAAGATACCGGACCTTTGTACCCATGTGTGAGATACCGGACCTTTGTAACTATGTGTAAGATATCGGACCTGTGTAACTATGTGTAAGATATCGGACCTATGTAACTATGTGTAAGATATCGGACCTTTGTATCCGTGTGTAAGATACCGGACCTTTGTACCCATGTGTAAGATATCGGACCTTTGTACCCATGTGTAAGATACCGAACCTTTGTACCCATGTGTAAGATACCGGACCTTTGTACCCATGTGTAAGATACCGGACCTTTGTACCCATGTGTGAGATACCGGACCTTTGTAACTATGTGTAAGATATCGGACCTGTGTAACTATGCGTAAGATATCGGACCTATGTAACTATGTGTAAGATATCGGACCTTTGTATCCGTGTGTAAGATGGTGGAATTTTGCACCCATGTGTTAGATACCGGACCTTTGTACACATGTGTAAGATACCGGACCTCTGTACCCACAGATAAAGACGCACACGAAGAGAGAGCTATGAGGGTTCGTACCTTTCAATAATACCCTGTATCTCCAGATTTGATTCCTCGTGTGATGATGGGTGAGTGAGTTGAAATCTGACGTCGCTTCAGCCATACAGCGATGGTAGTGTCTTGTTGACTTTAGTAAGTTGTTGTGGAGGCTACTTATGGTTCGTATTGTGTGTTTATCACAACGGTCGTGTGTTCATCTCAACGGTCATGTGTTCATCACAACGGTCATGTGTTCATCACAACGGCCATGTGTTCACCACAATGGTCATGTGTTCATCACAATGGTCATGTGTTTATCACAACGGTCATGTGTTCATCACAATGGTCATGTGTTGATCACAACGGTCGTGTGTTCATCACAATGGTCATGTGTTTATCACAACGGTCATGTGTTCATCACAATGGTCATGTGTTCATCACAGCGGTCGGGGTGGTGGGGTAGCCTAGTGGTTAAAGCGTTGGCTCGTCACGCCGAAGACCCGGGTTCGATTCCCCACATGGGCACAATGTGTTAAGCCCATTTCTGGTGTCCCCCGCCGTGATATTGCTGGAATATTGCTAAAAGCGGCGTAAAACTAAACTCAGTCAGTCAGTCAGTCATCACAGCGGTCGTGTGTTCATCACAATGGTCATGTGTTCATCACAGCGGTCGTGTGTTCATCACCCGTCATGTGTTCATCACCCGTCATGTGTTCATCACCCGTCATGTGTTCATCACAATAGTATTGTGTGTAGCTTTGACATAGTATGCTGACAATGGTATTGTGTGTAGCATTGACATAGTATGCTGACAATGGTATTGTGTGTAGCATTGACATACGATAGTGGCAATAGTATTGTGTGTAGCATTGACATAGGATGGTAGCAATGGTATTGTGCGTAGCATTGACATAGTATGCTGGCAATGGTATTGTGTGTAGCATTGACATAGGATGGTAGCAATGGTATTGTGTGTAGCATTGACATAGTATGCTGACAATGGTATTGTGTGTAGCATTGACATAGTATGCTGACAATGGTATTGTGTGTAGCATTGACATACGATAGTGGCAATAGTATTGTGTGTAGCATTGACATAGGATGGTAGCAATGGTATTGTGCGTAGCATTGACATAGTATGCTGGCAATGGTATTGTGTGTAGCATTGACATAGTATGCTGACAATGGTATTGTGTGTAGCATTGACATACGATAGTGGCAATAGTATTGTGTGTAGCATTGACATAGGATGGTAGCAATGGTATTGTGTGTAGCATTGACATAGTATGCTGACAATGGTATTGTGTGTAGCATTGACATACGATAGTGGCAATAGTATTGTGTGTAGCATTGACATAGGATGGTTGCAATGGTATTGTGCGTAGCATTGACATAGTATGCTGGCAATGGTATTGTGTGTAGCATTGACATACGATAGTGGCAATGGTATTGTGTGTAGCATTGACATAGGATGGTGGCAATGGTATTGTGTGTAGCATTGACATAGTATGCTGACAATGGTATTGGGTGTAGCATTGACATAACATAGCAATGATTGTGTGTAGCATGACATACGATAGTGGCAATAGTATTGTGTGTAGCATTGACATAGGATGGTAGCAATGGTATTGTGTATGTAGCAATGGTATATGCTGGCAATGGTATTGTGTGTAGCATTGACATACGATAGTGGCAATGGTATTGTGTGTAGCATTGACATAGTATGCTGACAATGGTATTGTGTGTAGCATTGACATACGATAGTGGCAATAGTATTGTGTGTAGCATTGACATAGGATGGTAGCAATGGTATTGTGTGTAACATTGACATAGTATGCTGGCAATGGTATTGTGTGTAGCATTGACATAATATGTTGGCAATGTTATTGTGTGTAGCATTGACATACGATAGTGGCAATAGTATTGTGTGTAGCATTGACATAGTATGCTGGGAATGGTATTGTGTGTAGCATTGACATAGTATGTTGGCAATGGTATTGTGTGTGGACAAAGGTATTGTATGTAGGGAGTGGTATTGTGTGTAGGGAGTGGTATTGTGTGTAGGGAGTGGTATTGTGTGTAGGGAGAAGTATTGTGTGTAGGGAGTGGTATTGTGTGTAGACAATGGTATTGTGTGTAGGGAGTGGTATTGTGTGTAGGGAGGTGTATTGTGTGTAGACAAAGGTATTGTGTGTAGACAATGGTATTGTGTGTAGGGAGCTGTATTGTGTGTAGACAATGGTATTGTGTGTAAGTAGAAGTATTGTGTGTAGGGAGTGGTATTGTGTGTAGAAAATGGTATTGTGTGTAGACAATGGTATTGTGTGTAGACAGTGGTATTGTGTGTAGGGAGTGGTATTGTGTGTAGGGAGTGGTATTGTGTGTAGGATAAATAGACATGATCAATAGGCGGTGTCAATGTTTAGCTGAACTGGGAAGGAGAGACTGTTTCCATGTTGATGAGAGGATGCAGAAGGCGACAGGATGTCTGTGATGCGTGCAGCTGTCAAGGGTGTGCACGTCATTTGGACTGATACAACAGCGGGAACGGGAGAGGCGGTGTTCCCGGCGGACTCATTTAGTTCGTGTATGTCTAGAGATATATTTCTCCACAACTTTCAAAGTGGCCCTGTGGCGGTTTCAAGGCACGTTACAGCTGGAGAAAGAGTTATGTTTATTAATGTGTTGCCGTGGTGGTTCTGAGTGGTGCCTGGTGGTTCTGAGAGCTGCTTGGTGACTCTGAGTGGTGCCTGGTGGTTCTGAGTGGTGCCTGGTGGTTCTGAGTGGTGCCTGGTGGTTCTGAGCGGAGCCTGGTGACTCTAAGCGGAGCCTGGTGACTCTGAGCGGAGCCTTGTGGTTCTGAGCGGAGCCTGGTGGTTCTGAGCGGAGCCTGGTGACTCTGAGTGGAGCCTGGCGACTCTGAGCGGAGCCTGGTGGTTCTGAGTGGTGTCTGGTGGTTCTGAGGGGTGTTGGGTAGTTCTGAGGGATGTTGAGTAGTTCTGAGGGTAGTTGGGTAGTTCTGAGGGAGGGGGGTTAGTTCTCTGTGTGTGTGTGTGTTTGGTAGTGCTGAGGGATGTTGGGTGGTTCTAAGGGGTGTTGGGCAGCATCGAGAGGTGTTTGGTAGTTCTAAGTGCGTGTGATAGTTCTCAGGGGTGTTAGGTGTTTGGTAGTACCGAGTTGTGTTAGGTGGTTCTGTGTGGTGCCTGGTGGTTTTGAGTGGTGCTTAGTGCAAAAATGTATCAGCTCATACGAAATAATTAGTTATCATCTGGAACAACGCAACAAACAAACAACAACAACAACAACAGGTGCGTCGTGTGTTTCATAATGTCCTCAGTAGTACGCTGACCATGGATGCTGGTAGTCAATATTGTAAGAGTTTTCATTTTCCCATATTTGGCTTGGATCAGAAAAACAAACAAACTCAGCAGCCAGCAGCATGTGAGAAGATATAGAGCATGTGAGAAGATATAGAGCATGCTATTTCTTACACAGCTTGACTTGACACAACTCTAACAGACAGCTAAGGAGAAGATATAGCGCATGGTTTTTTCTACACAGCTTGACTTGACACAACTCTAACAGACAGCTAAGGCGAAGATAGGTATATTTTGTAGGAGACAACATCAGGTCGATGAAAAGCACATTTCCAACAATGGATAGCCCAACTTGACGACATTAAAATGTACAAGACTTTGCCTCCCGTCGTCTGTCGTCTGTTTGTCTCTAGCCAGTAATATCAGGGGAATGTTTACATGTTCCATGTTCTACAACTCTCCTCCCTATTGAACAACCGACGCCATTATCTCACGTGAGACATTGTCATAATGAGACCACAAAGGTACACTGCAAGCAGTGCGGCTGGTCGCAGTCATCTCGGCAAGGCCACCTCTTCAGCTTCAGGGAGCTGTCATTGCACACATTAGCCCACAGTCTGGATGTGCGGCTTTTAATGTGAGTTTGCTTATTATAGCTGTGACTTTATTCTCCTTTAGTAGATGTGACACCAAGGTTGACCAGCTAAGCGACGCGAAGGGTTGAACAGCTAAGCAACGCCAAGGGTTGAACAGCTAAGCGACGCCAAGGGTTGAACAGCTAAACGACGCCAAGGGTTGGCCAGCTAAACGACGCCAAGGGTTGGCCAGCTAAACGACGCCAAGGGTTGGCCAGCTAAACGACGCCAAGGGTTGACAATGATGGAGCGAATGAAGCAATGGCTGGGGATGTCACGCGAGTCCAGTCCGACGCGGTCCCCTCCAGCGTCTCCTGCCTCCCACAGACCTGTGAGTCATGTGTCACGACCCTCGAATACCTCCCCAGGTAAGATTGGTGTCACTGCTGCAGCAGCCTTGAGGATGGCGCCTCCACGTCTCCGTGTCCGTCGCACCCTGTTGAAACCATGTTGCACACAACGTCACCAGTGTTGTACCAAAAGCGTTCACTTTTGCACCGATCTAAGTCACGTGCCCACTTCTGTTGTGTTTCTGGCGTCACCCTTTGCTTCTAGTGGTGGTCAGTGCTCACTGCTTCTAGCGGTGGTTAGTGCTCACTGCTTCTAGTGGTGGTCAGTGCTCACTGCTTCTTGTGGTGGTTAGTGCTCACTGCTTCTAGTGGTGGTCAGTGCTCACTGCTTCTTGTGGTGGTTAGTGCTCACTGCTTCTAGTGGTGGTCAGTGCTCACTGCTTCTTGTGGTGGTTAGTGCTCACTGCTTCTAGCGGTGGTCAGTGCTCACTGCTTCTTGTGGTGGTTAGTGCTCACTGCTTCTAGTGGTGGTCAGTGCTCACTGCTTCTTGTGGTGGTTAGTGCTCACTGCTTCTAGTGGTGGTCAGTGCTCACTGCTTCTTGTGGTGGTTAGTGCTCACTGCTTCTAGCGGTGGTTAGTGCTCACTGCTTCTAGCGGTGGTTAGTGCTCACTGCTTCTTGTGGTGGTTAGTGCTCACTGCTTCTAGTGGTGGTCAGTGCTCACTGCTTCTTGTGGTGGTCAGTCCTCACTGCTTCTGGTCCGATCACGTCAAGGACGCCAGTATATGTAACCTAAACAACTGCACGTCTGGCTCTCAGATACCATTTATATTACAACGAGTTGCTGCAAGGCGATCAGGTGACCGTCAATCATGACTCAAGAGAAGACATCAGGAAAATATAGAGCATGCTATTTCTTACACAGCTTGACTTGACACAACTCTAACAGACAGCTAAGATACCCAATCACATAGTTACTACTTCACTTGGCATAACCCTAATAGACAGCTAAGGTACCCACTCACACTGTTACTCCTTCACTTGGCACAGCTCTAACAGAAATCTAAGGTACCCACTCAAACTGTTACTCCTTCACTTGGCACAGCTCTAACAGGCAGCTAAGGTACCCACTCACACTGTTACTCCTTCACTTGGCATAACTCTAATAGACAGCTAAGGTATCCACTCACACTGTTACTCCTTCACTTGGCACAGCTCTAACAGGCAGCTAAGGTACCAACTCACACTGTTACTCCTTCACTTGGCACAGCTCTAACAGACAGCTAAGGTACCCACTCAAACTGTTACTCCTTCACTTGGCATAACTCTAATAGACAGCTAAGGTATCCGACCACACTGTAACTCCTTCACTTGACACAACTCTAACAGACAGCTAAGATACCCAATCACATAGTTACTACTTCACTTGGCATAACCCTAATAGACAGCTAAGGTACCCACTCACACTGTTACTCCTTCACTTGGCACAGCTCTAACAGGCAGCTAAGGTACCCAATCACACTGTTACTCCTTCACTTGGCACAGCTCTAACAGACAGCTAAGATACCCACTCACACTGTTACTCCTTCACTTGGCATAACTCTAATAGACAGCTAAGGTATCCACTCACACTGTTACTCCTTCACTTGGCACAGCTCTAACAGGCAGCTAAGGTACCAACTCACACTGTTACTCCTTCATTTGGCACAGCTCTAACAGACAGCTAAGGTACCCACTCACACTGTTACTCCTTCACTTGGAATAACTCTAATAGACAGCTAAGGTATCTACTCACACTGTTACTCCTTCACTTGGAATAACTCTAACAGACAGCTAAGATACCCACTCACACTGTTACTCCTTCACTTGGCATAACTCTAATAGACAGCTAAGGTATCCACTCACACTGTTACTCCGTCACTTGGCACAGCTCTAATAGACAGCTAAGGTACCCACTCACACTGTTACTCCTTCACTTGGAATAACTCTAATAGACAGCTAAGGTATCCACTCACACTGTTACTCCTTCACTTGGAATAACTCAAATAGACAGCTAAGGTACCCACTCACACTGTTACTCCTTCATTTGGCACAGCTCTAACAGACAGCTAAGGTACCAACTCACACTGTTACTCCTTCATTTGGCACAGCTCTAACAGACAGCTAAGGTACCCACTCACACTGTTACTCCTTCACTTGGCATAACTCTAATAGACAGCTAAGGTATCCACTCACACTGTTACTCCTTCACTTGGCACAACTCTAATAGACAGCTAAGGTACCAACTCACACTGTTACTCCTTCATTTGGCACAGCTCTAACAGACAGCTAAGGTACCCACTCACACTGTTACTCCTTCACTTGGCATAACTCTAATAGACAGCTAAGGTATCTACTCACACTGTTACTCCTTCACTTGGAATAACTCTAACAGACAGCTAAGATACCCAATCACATTGTTACTACTTCACTTGGCATAACTCAAACAGACAGCTAAGGTACCCAATCACACTGTTACTCCTTCATTTGGCACAGCTCTAACAGACAGCTAAGGTACCCACTCACACTGTTACTCATTCACTTGGCACAGCTCTAACAGACAGCTAAGGTATCCACTCACACTGTTACTCATTCACTTGGCACAGCTCTAACAGACAGCTAAGGTACCCACTCACATTGTTACTCCTTCACTTGGCACAACTCTAATAGACAGCTAAGGTATCCACTCACACTGTTACTCCTTCACTTGGCACAACTCTAACAGACAGTTAAGGTACCCACTCACACTGTTACTCCTTCACTTGGCACAACTCTAACAGACAGTTAAGGTACCCACTCACACTGTTACTCCTTCACTTGGCAGAGCTCTAACAGACAGCTAAGGTACCCACCCACACTGTTACTCCTTCACTTGGCACAGCTCTAACAGGCAGCTAAGGTACCCACTCACACTGTTACTCCTTCACTTGGCACAACTCTAACAGACAGCTAAGGTACCCACTCACACTGTTACTCCTTCACTTGGCACAACTCTAACAGGCAACTAAGGTACCAACTCACACTGTTACTCCTTCACTTGGCACAGCTCTAACAGACAGCTAAGGTACCCAATCACACTGTTACTCTTTCACTTGGCATAACCCTAATAGACAGCTAAGGTACCCAATCACACTGTTACTCCTTCACTTGGCACAGCTCTAACAGACAGCTAAGGTACCCACTCACACTGTTACTCCTTCACTTGGCATAACTCTAATAGACAGCTAAGGTATCCACTCACACTGTTACTCCTTCACTTGGCACAGCTCTAACAGGCAGCTAAGGTACCAACTCACACTGTTACTCCTTCACTTGGCACAGCTCTAACAGACAGCTAAGGTACCCACTCACACTGTTACTCCTTCACTTGGCATAACTCTAATAGACAGCTAAGGTATCCACTCACACTGTTACTCCTTCACTTGGAATAACTCTAACAGACAGCTAAGATACCCAATGACATTGTTACTACTTCACTTGGCATAACTCTAATAGACAGCTAAGGTATCCACCCACACTGTTACTCCTTTACTTGGCACAGCTCTAACAGACAGCTATGGTACCCACTCACACTGTTATTCCTTCACTTGGCACAGCTCTAACAGACAGCTAAGTTGCCGACTCACACTGTTACTCCTTCACTTGGCACAACTCTAACAGACAGCTAAGGTACCCACTCACACTGTTACTCCTTCACTTGGCACAACTCTCACAGACAGCTATGGTACCCACTCACACTGTTACTCCTTCACTTGGCACAGCTCTAACAGGCAGCTAAGGTACCCAATCACACTGTTACTCCTTCACTTGGCACAGCTCTAACAGACAGCTATGGTACCCACTCACACTGTTACTCCTTCACTTGGCACAGCTCTAACAGACAGCTATGGTACCCACTCACACTGTTACTCCTTCACTTGGCACAACTCTAACAGACAGCTAAGGTATCCACTCACACTGTTACTCCTTCACTTGGCACAACTCTAACAGAAATCTAAGGTACCCACCCACACTGTTACTCCTTCACTTGGCACAGCTCTAACAGAAATCTAAGGTACCCACCCACACTGTTACTCCTTCACTTGGCACAACTCTAACAGAAATCTAAGGTACCCACTCACACTGTTACTCCTTCACTTGGCACAGCTCTAACAGACAGCTAAGGTACCCACTCACACTGTTACTCTTTCACTTGGCACAGCTCTAACAGACAGCTAAGGTACCCACTCACACTGTTACTACTTCACTTGGCACAACTCTAACAGACAGCTAAAGGTTACCCAATCTAACAGACAGCTAAGGTACCCACTCACACTGTTACTCCTTCACTTGGCACAGCTCTAACAGACAGCTAAGGTACCCACTCACACTGTTACTCCTTCACTTGGCACAGCTCTAACAGACAGCTAAGGTTCCCAATCACACTATTACTCCTTCACTTGGCACAGCTCTAACAGACAGCTAAGGTACCCAATCACACTATTACTCCTTCACTTGGCACAGCTCTATCAGACAGCTAAGGTACCTACTCACACTGTTACTCCTTCACTTGGCACAGCTCTAAAAAGTCCGTAAAGTCCGTAAGTTCCGTAAAGTCCCAGCCACTTACAACCTCGGTTGATAATTCATCATGCATATATACACAAAGAAAAAAGTTACGCGCAACCTGATATTTTGATGAATGTATTCCCCCATTATTTGAAATAGTGATACATGGAATATTTATGGGAAGAGTAGAGTTTACGTGAGACCACATGACCAGTGATGCGTAACAATCGCGCTCGTGTCGCTTGTGACATGTGCCCGTGCTACATGCTACCCTCGAGGATCACACAAAGCAGTATGGCCCAACTGTATTTGTGGGTATTTAACGTTGGCTGAAACGGCCATTCAAGCATATTCATGGAACATGGCATGGAGACGATTGTCAATCGACACTAGGAATCAGATTATTGGTATGCATACCGCAGGAATGTCCTTTAAGGCGATTGGACGAATTCTGGGCTGCCAGTACACCGTTGTTAGCCGTTTAGTCCGGAAACATGCGCAGACCGGAAGTGCAATGAACCGTCCAATGTCTGGAAGGCCTCCTGTCACTACAACAAACCGAAACATGAGTCTCATTAACCCATTCAGACAATGACCTATTTTTCGGCCGATCCGAATTTTCTCGTGTGAAAGTGAAAATAGACACCACAAACAACTATGGTTACACTGAATTCCAATTCCTTGTTTCATGGCTAAGAAAATGGTATTTACAAATAATTACGGACCTGACATGTTTTTTGCCATGTGGCATTGTGAAAATATCAGGGGGTGCTTAACTTTTTTCTTTGTGTGTGTGTGTGTATATATATATATCCATGTATATATATAATTGTGATTTACAAAGTACGTCATTATATATATACACACACACACACAAAGAAAAAATATATATATACATTTGACATTGTGAAAATATCAGGGGGTGCTTAACTTTTTCCTTTGTGTGTGTGTGTGTATATATATATATCCGTGTATATATATAATTGTGATTTACAAAGTACGTCATTATATATATATATATATATATATACACACACAAAGAAAAAATATATATACATACATTTGGCATTGTGAAAATATCAGGGGGTGCTTAACTTTTTAGTGTGTGTGTCTGTGTGAGGTGAGGTGAGGTGAAATTGGGTTTAACGTCACGCTTGAGAATATTTCGATCATATGACGACGTGCATGCGTGTTTGTGTATGTGCGGCTGCTTGCACTAGCCCAGACATACCTGGTTTTATAGTGCTAGCCCACTGAGATACCATGCCGCAGTGAAGCATGAATACCCCCCTCAGACACAGTATACTGACTCCGAGCTGACCAGTCCTTGTTGTACCCAAAAATGCCGAGCGCCAGGCATGGACCAACAAGTACCATATTTTAACGTCTTTTGGTATGACGCGGTCGGGGATCGAACCCGCGACCTTCCGCTCTCCGGGCGGACGCTCTAACCACTACACCACGGAGGCGGTCGTGTGTGTGTGTGTGTGTGTGTGTGTGTGTGTGTGTGTGTGTGTGTGTGTGTGTGTGTGTGTGTGTGTGTGTGTGTGTGTGTGTAATGACGTACTTCGTAAATCACAATTTATGAATTAATTCTATTTCTTCAAAGAAAGATGTTACCTGAGAATTTGCATAACTGAAAGGCCTGAGGCTGCTTCACACTGAAAATACGATATTGTCGGATAATGACCTCTTCAAATCTGACCTTACGACCCCAGTAGGTGTGGCTGATCGTTGGATCATTTTGATGTAATGTGTTTTCATCTCGTTGGTTGTCGTACTTCATTTGCATTAGATCTGTGCTGCAACATCTAACAACCGGTTTATCATCACAGTTTTTAATTAGAAGTGACGTCAGATATTTTCCAGTTGCAAGAATATTATATTGTTCAATTATTGCCTATAGCCTAGAGAGGTAAAAAAAATTCACAGACTATGTTTAGACATGATTGGTGTATACTTAAAATGGCCTGCGATTCGGCTGTGGAAGTAGTAGATTACCAGGTTATCTAATTGATAAGGTTATGGATCCAACGATAGAGGCCCTGACAACTGTATCTCCATCCTTGGATCCATTTGTAAATATTAGTCTGTATCTTCTTTGCTTTTTAACCGATAATATTCTTGTTGGTGTTGTAGTTGATTTGTTTCTGATTTCTTTAATTTAGATAAGGTGAGTTCCATCCAGAAGAAGAAGAAAAATCTTATTCGTATTCCTATTGAGGAAATAAGAAGTGACTTCATATTGGGCAGATCCTCATAAAGAGGATTAAAAATGCAGCTGTGTGCATAAATTTTTTAGTGTTTTGTAATGGATGTTTGTGAAGATAATTATAAAGTATGATGTTTAGGAGATGGCTCATATCTACAAATTGCCAGTATGAGATGTTCTCAAAGATCCAATGCAAAGCCTAAGGCATTGATGGTGGATAAAAATCTAGCAGTTGAAGGTTACTTTTCCAGGCTCCACCACAGATGATGGAGCCATAATAGCGTTGATAAGGATTAGTGATCCTTACAAGTGACGAATAGTTGATCGGTCCATTCCCTGCGTGGAATTAGAAACAACTTTTGATAAATCCAGTGCCACCGGGCATTTTGCTTTCATGTATTAAATATATGGCAGGAAAACAAGTTAATTGTAAAACATATATACCCCAAAGTTGGGCTTCCTTTGGAACAGTAATTGGAATCGCTTGATGTAAGTCAGGGTCACGATGGAGGTTAGTGTCAGAAATGGATGCAATTACTCTATATTTAGCCTTACGCTCCGATCAATCATATGTTGGTTGAGGCAAGACATCAACTTTGTTTCAGTCATGTGCATAGTTTTACGTCGACATGATTCATTAAAATCTTCAAATACTGACCCATCAGCGGAGTCATTAAGACGTCAGATAAACATGCAGTATTCGCGGGACTGAGTGTGAGTAGATCCCCAAACCTCTCCCCACCGTTGGCGGTAGAATACGGACGAAACGTGAAAACACACGGCTGGTTTACACGATGCACTATCTCGCAGTTACCCTTGTTAGGTTCACTGCACAGTTTGACGACAAGTGTGTTTACTTGGCGGCCGTAACCGGTGGAGCTAAGCATCATATATAGTTACTGTAACCTTTTCACACAAACGCTTGGTATCAGGGTTGATTGCAAAGACCAATTAAACCACTTTCATCCCAGCTTTGCCCATGGAATCTGCTTTGACAGATACTGCATATATCAGTCGTCTGTTATCTCATCCTACATTCATCAATATGAAACAGAATACATTAGTCAGTCAGATCTATAACGCTACCGAAAATTCCATTGGAGAGTTCAACCCGTCACATATGGCGCGATGCCTCCACTGGCGCTGAAAGGGTTGTTGTTGCCACCGGTACTACAGATGTGTGCCCCAGGTACGTTTCTGTATACATACAGGAATGTACCCTAAACAAAGTCAAAATATACAGAAACGTACCCGGCGCCATACACGGCAGACGAGTCCGCAACCCAAAACCCTCTCCTTGTTCCCGTTCGACTGATAGCGAGTGGTTATAGTGTGCACCGAGAAATATTCGTTATTATGTATGGTCGATTCCTAAATCTTCAATCAAATGCATCTTTAAATACTAGCCTTTGGTCTTCATGATTTTTGTGCACCCCCCAACCCCTTCTCCAAAATTCTGTATCCGCTCTTGATACTCTATACATTTATATGATTCGGATGTTTGCGTGATTGTACGAGCGCTTCACGAGGTTCACGATGAACAAATTGACTTCAGCTAACTGACATACTAATCAAAATCAACCTAACGATACTTGCGTGCCTGCTTTTGTTTGTATGAATTTACTTCTACTTCTATTTGCTTTCAGTAAACCAAGATCTATCGACCAATCAGAAATCAAGAAGGCAGAAATGGCGACATCGTCTTCACTTCCGGCGCCTGTGCGACGTCGGTCAAGGTCAAAGTCACCGAGTAAACATGGACGTCAGAGGCAGACGAGCAGTGGAAATCGGACTCTTGGACTGATAAAGACGTCAGACGACGAAACTTTCTTGCCGCGAGAACATCAGAATCCCCAGTAAGTATAGTTGTGTTTGTTCTGTGCTTGCGATAATGGGATTTGAGTAGTCGTTCTCCTACTGGTGTCCCGTGTTTTGCTGTGTGAACTCCCAGCATAATCATATCGTCAAATCAGCTTATACGTGGTATAACGAGGTGTGTTGCATCACACAGAAAGTGTAGGTGCTCGTAAGACTGCTGCAGCTGCTCACACTCGCAGACAACGGGGTTCTACTGGGTTCTTCCCCCACACACAGAAAGTTTGTCTATAAATAAATTAAAGTACAAAGTCTTGATACGTTTGGATTCCCAAGTAAGAGAACTTTGCACGAAACCAACAGACAACAAAGCAGGGGCGAGAGTTCACAAATCCTACAATTTCAGTATAAAGATCACCATGGCAGTACAATGTAGAGTGGCTATGGGAATTCTGAGGCAGTTTCATCACGAGCAGTGATTATTGCAGTAAAGACAATAACAGTATATTTCACTATCACTAACCAGACGTGTAGCAAGCCATTTTTTTCGTGGATAGGTTGCAAAGCTTTATATTTAGATAGTATTGAGGGCTTGCCCAACCTGTTTAGCAGCAATCATGGACTTTTTTTTTTATAATGGTAGCTATGCCCCAGGCCCCCTGCTAACATTAATGTGACTTTTACCTGGGCCTGGATGGGTATATTGATTATAATACACTGTTCTCCTGGTAACTTGAAATGTAATGTGAAATCAAAGGCAATATTAACTTGCACTTTTTATATACCCCAGAAAAAGCCAAGAAATTCCACAATAGTCTCAAAGGCAGGTGATTATGGATTAGAATAGAACTTTCTAGATCATGCTACTTGGTTTCAGGGCCTATAAGGTTGTAGCACAATCTAACTTTCACACTCCACTATCCCTCACTTAATCTACAGGTGAACAACAGGTGAGACATTGTTGCACAACACTCTCCCCCTTCGGTGACAGAAAGTTTGAACGTAGTAAAAAATTTCTTTTCTAATTAAAATACAAAACCTGCTTGGCATTTTATAACAACAGTGCACATGTTAATTAACCATGAAATATGTTTATATAAATACATGCTAATGCATCAGATTTTATGTTGTCTTTGACTTTAATATTTGAGTTCTCTAAATCAAGACAAGCTCTAGCATTTGTGTTTGTGTTCTTCAGTGGTTGTGATCAGTGCGTACTTGTAAAGGAAGCAAAGTAGTTCCAAGGTACACTTCCAATTGCTGCACAGGTAACAACTCAGCAACAGCGTTTTTTCGATGGTGGAATAATGTCTTTGATGTTTGTGAACTTTCCTTGAGAAATAACAAACAGGATGATCAAAGCCTGATGCATCTTCCTGTAACATGACAGCTCCAACACAATGGTCAATTTGAAAGGTTTCTTGACATTTGGTGCTTGAAGAACAGAATTCATGAGAATGACTTTAATTTTCTCAAAAGCCTGATAACAGCTTTCCAAAACAACTTTTACTTTTTTACCGAGCAAATTGGTAGGGTGTGGGCTGTGTGCATCCCCCATTCTGGATCCACACATGTTGATTCATCAGGTAGGGATGTTGTTTAACAGCCAGAGTGTCTCCTACACCTGCATCCAGTGTTCACAAATGGTGTTTCAAAGTAACAGGACATTGGGTCCTGTAAGTTTCAGATGTCTGTCTGACCCATTGAAAATTCACAGGTCCCATAGAATAAAATTAAACTCACATTTCAGATTTAACATCTCTTATAATTGGCATTGAAATTATTAACAAACATAAGATTTATAAACAGCAATAAACAGCAAACAAGTGTCACATGTCACATATGACAACTTCAGTCAAAGTCATTGTGAAATATACAGTCAGACACTGGGGCCGGTGGGTTGTAGACTTCTATCGGACCGTTGGTGAATCTACCGGATTTGTCAGAGGGTCAGACGCTATTTGTGAACACTGGCATCAGGAAACACTGAATCTGTGCAGCCAGGTGCATCAGGAAACACTGAACTTGTGCAGCCAGGTGCATCATGACACACTGAATCTGTGCAGCCAGGTGCATCACGACACACTGAATCTGTGCAGCCAGGTGCATCAGGAAACACTGAATCTGTGCAGCCAGGTGCATCATGACACACTGAATCTGTGAAGGCAGGTGCATCAGGAAACAGTGAATCTGTGCAGCCAGGTGCATCATGACACACTGAATCTGTGCAGCCTTGTGCACCAGGAAACACTGAATCTGTGCAGCCAGGTGCATCAGGAAACACTGAATCTGTGCAGCCAGGTGCATCATGACACACTGAATCTGTGCAGCCAGGTGCATCAGGAACTATGAATCTGTGCAGCCAGGTGCACCATGACACACTGAATCTGTGCAGCCAGGTGCATCAGGAAACACTGAATCTGTAGAGCCAGGTGCATCAGGAAACACTGAATCTGTGCAGCCAGGTGCATCATGACACACTGAATCTGTGCAGCCAGGTGCATCATGACACACTGAATCTGTGCAGCCAGGTGCATCATGACATACTGAATCTGTGCAGCCAGGTGCATCAGGAAACACTGAATCTGTGCAGCCAGGTGCATCAGGAAACACTGAATCTGTGGAGCCAGGTGCATCATGACACACTGAATCTGTGCAGCCAGGTGCATCATGACACACTGAATCTGTGCAGCCAGGTGCATCATGACATACTGAATCTGTGCAGCCAGGTGCATCAGGAAACACTGAATCTGTGCTGCTAGGTGCATCAGGAAACAATGAATCTGTGGAGCCAGGTGCATCAGGAAACACTGAATCTGTGGAGCCAGGTGCATCATGACACACTGAATCTGTGCAGCCAGGTGCATCATGACATACTGAATCTGTGCAGCCAGGTGCATCAGGAAACACTGAATCTGTGCTGCTAGGTGCATCAGGAAACAATGAATCTGTGCAGCCAGGTGCATCAGGAAACACTGAATCTGTGCAGCCAGGTGCATCATGACACACTGAATCTGTGCAGCTTTGTGCATCATGACACACTGAATCTGTGCAGCCAGGTGCATCAGGAAACAATGAATCTGTGAGGCCAGGTGCATCAGGAAACACTGAATCTGTGCTGCCAGGTGCATCAGGTCACACTGAATCTGTGCAGCCAGGTGCATCATGACACACTGAATCTGTGCAGCCAGGTGCATCATGACACACTGAATCTGTGCAGCCAGGTGCATCAGGAAACACTGAATCTGTGGAGCCAGGTGCATCATGACACACTGAATCTGTGGAGCCAGGTGCATCAGGAAACACTGAATCTGTGCAGCCAGGTGCATCATGACACACTGAATCTGTGCAGCCAGGTGCATCAGGAAACACTGAATCTGTGCAGCCAGGTGCATCATGACACACTGAATCTGTGCAGCCAGGTGCATCATGACACACTGAATCTGTGGAGCCAGGTGCATCAGGAAACACTGAATCTGTGCAGCCAGGTGCATCATGACACACTAAATCTGTGCAGCCAGGTGCATCAGGAAACATTGAATCTGTGCAGCCAGGTGCATCATGACACACTGAATCTGTGCAGCCAGGTGCATCATGACACACTGAATCTGTGCAGCCAGGTGCATCAGGAAACACTGAATCTGTGAAGCCAGGTGCATCATGACACACTGAATCTGTGCATCCAGGTGCATCAGGAAACACTGAATCTGTGCAGCCAGGTGCATCATGACACACTGAATCTGTGCAGCCAGGTGCATCATGACACACTGAATCTGTGCAGCCAGGTGCATCATGACACACTGAATCTGTGCAGCCAGGTGCATCAGGACACACTGAATCTGTGCAGCCAGGTGCATCAGGAAACACTGAATCTGTGCAGCCAGGTGCATCAGGAAACACTGAATCTGTGCAGCCAGGTGCATCAGGAAACACTGAATCTGTGCAGCCAGGTGCATCATGACACACTGAATCTGTGCAGCCAGGTGCATCATGACACACTGAATCTGTGCAGCCAGGTGCATCATGACATACTGAATCTGTGCAGCCAGGTGCATCAGGAAACACTGAATCTGTGCAGCCAGGTGCATCATGACACACTGAATCTGTGCAGCCAGGTGCATCAGGAAACACTGAATCTGTGCAGCCAGGTGCATCAGGAAACACTGAATCTGTGCAGCCAGGTGCATCATGACACACTGAATCTGTGCAGCCAGGTGCATCATGACACACTGAATCTGTGCAGCCAGGTGCATCATGACACACTGAATCTGTGGAGCCAGGTGCATCAGGAAACACTGAATCTGTGCAGCCAGGTGCATCAGGAAACACTGAATCTGTGCAGCTTTGTGCATCATGACACACTGAATCTGTGCAGCCAGGTGCATCAGGAAACAATGAATCTGTGCAGCCAGGTGCATCAGGAAACACTGAATCTGTGGAGCCAGGTGCATCAGGAAACACTGAATCTGTGCAACCAGGTGCATCAGGAAACACTGAGTCTGTGAAGCCAGGTGCATCATGACACACTGAATCTGTGCAGCCAGGTGCATCATGACACACTGAATCTGTGCAGCCAGGTGCATCAGGAAACACTGAATCTGTGCAGCCAGGTGCATCATGACACACTAAATCTGTGCAGCCAGGTGCATCAGGAAACAATGAATCTGTGCAGCCAGGTGCATCATGACACACTGAATCTGTGCAGCCAGGTGCATCAGGAAACACTGAATCTGTGCAGCCAGGTGCATCATGACACACTGAATCTGTGCAGCCAGGTGCATCAGGAAACAATGAATCTGTGCAGCCAGGTGCATCAGGTCACAGTGAATCTGTGCAGCCAGGTGAATCATGACACACTGAATCTGTGCAGCCAGGTGTATCATGACACACTGAATCTGTGCAGCCAGGTGCATCATGACACACTGAATCTGTGCAGCCAGGTGCATCAGGAAGCACTGAATCTGTGCAGCCAGGTGCATCAGGAAACACTGAATCTGTGCAGCCAGGTGCATCAGGAAACACTGAATCTGTGCAGCCAGGT